TTTTTTTATTGCATCAAAAATTTTTTCGCTCGTGTTCACTGTTTTCTTCAAATTTTCCGATGTATCTGGAAGAAAAATTGACAAAAACCTTGAAAAATCTTGAAAAAACCGAAAAAAAAGTGAAAACGAGCGAAAAAATTTTAAAAGTTTGAATTCGCGCGCTTTTACTCACCGGGCGGCCTAGAAAAAACCTCGTCCCTAAGGGCTTTCAGCGTATTTTTTGATGCGTTTTTCTCGATGAAGGAATTTTTTTTGAACCTTTTCTTTATTTTTAAGTCAATCTACATGCATTTCTGCACATTTTGATGCAATAAAAAATTTCACCGTACACCACCTTTAAACTTACCTGACTCAGAAACAGATCCAAAATGAAAAACACCATTTGCAAAGGAAACTTGGCAGTGAAAAGAGTTAGAAACCATTGAGATGCATACATATGAGTTTCAATGCCGATATGCTCCAAATGAATAGACAGTTCGGGTATGTAATCCTATAATTTTAAGAATATTTCTGAGCTCACTGAGAATAAAAACTCACTTTCAATAAAGCTGTGAGCTGAAAGAAACGCAAATGCAGGTTGTCGAAGCCCAACTTGAACAAATCTCTCAAGCCATAATTAAACATGATTTTGACAAGCGTACAGAATGCTTGTTCTTCTGGCATGTGGAGCAACAAACTAGCCGCCAAAAACGACAAACCTTGACAATATGATACTTCTTCGTCATACAATGAGTAAACCTTGAATCAATTAAATTTCATCAAATCATTTTTTATTACTTACTTTGCTAATTTTGTATAAAGACTCTTGGCCTTTTCCTCCAGATTCTTTGAAATAGTCATGTGCTGGGAACGTGCGGTGAATGTCTCTCATAATAACTTGCTCTGATGGACAAGGCTGGTTCAAGAAATCAAGATACTCTTCGACGAGATCAGGTTGGTCGATAGCCTAAAACATGAAAACTAATTTTGACAACTTCACAATTTCACATTTGCCAGCAGCTGCCAAACGTGTCCTCGAAGCTTGTCTGGTATTCCATCAAGCACTAGCTCTGATATTCTTTCAGGTCGATCACTTTGTTGATCCCAATTGTTTATCAACTGATTCCACAGCTCGAGATGCTCCTCTTTACATTCCTGAGACACTTTTCCTGATCCGGATAACAACGGCTCGTCACAATCTGAAATTTTATTTGGGTTACATGTTCATTTGGGTTGGTCTGCCTGATTCATCATCACCAGTCGGATGCAATAGTTGAGTAGGCATTCTTGACGGACTTTTGCCCAAGTTTTGTTTCAAACGTTTCCTCTCACTGTCTGACTCAAGGGATATAAACGTGAGCTTTCGGTCGTTAAGGTCAGCCTGATCGAAGTTTTTCTGAAAATATAACTTTTTTTATGATTGTGTTTGCAATTTCACGAGTTTTTTTTTCTGCTGATACGATTTGCAATCAAGCGTGTATTGCCCAAAGGGCCGTGAGATTTGTCTATTCCAAACAATTTTTTGAAACAATATGTCTAGACAATACAGTGCGTTTCAATATTATACGTCCACTCTTGTTTTTGGCCGTAACTTGAGAACCGGTTGAGATATCAATCTAATTTTATTAAAATTGAATTCAGAGCAACAAATTACATCTAGAAAACCATTTTTGAGAAAAAATATTGAAAACTACTCGAGATACAGAGAAAAATCTGAAAATGTGACATTTGCAACCGTTTCAAAATTATACGTCCACTCTCAGAATCAATGCTAAAATAGAGAATAAAAAATATTTCAATACTTTGTGGATGAACCTTTACCAGCAATGACATCGAAGAGACGATTTGGCATCGATTTGATAAGGTTTTGGATGTATTGGGTGCTCTTAGTCTTGAACTCCTGCTCCAGCAGACTCCACTCAGCAATCAGCGCATCCCGAAGCTCTCCCATACTAGCATACTTCTTTCCATGGCGGTAAAGACGACGAACCAGCTCGCCCCAAACATTTTCCATCGGATTCAGATCTGGAGAGCAAGCTGGCCATGGCAAGACATCGATGTTTTTCGATTGGAACCAGTCCAAAGTGGAGCGGCTGACATGGATTGCAGCATTATCTTGCTGAAAAATGAACTGGCGGCGACTGAATCGACGACGAAACGGGATAAGGTGGTTCTGGAGAACGTCTTGGTAGTCTGTGGAGTTCATTCGACAAGTGGTGAAAGCGAACTCCAAGTATCCAGCCGAAGCAAATGCTCCCCATACCATCAAACTGCCTCCCCCGAAATTCCTTTTGGCAAAAACGGCTGGATCCTTCCGCAAGTCGTGCCAGTACGATTTGAATCCGTCGGGTCCATCAAGATTGAATTTTTTCTCGTCCGAAAAAATTACCTGTAAAAGATAAGATAATTTGGATAGATAATTTTAAATTTAATACCTTATCCCAGTTGGTTCCCATGTTTTTTCGAGCGAAGTCGAGACGGCGAGTTTTGTGATTGTCAGTGAGCTTCGGAGCAGGGCGCATGACTGCTCTTTTGATGTTTGGATCATCCTTAAGAGCCCTCCAGATTGTACACTTGCTCACTCCAAGATTCAGCTCTTTTTTGATATCATTACAAGACTTCATGGTGTTTGAAGCCACACGAACGATTGATCGTTTGGCTCTTGAATTGAGTTTTGGAGGACGTCCAGCCTTGTTGGGTTGATTGTTGCGGGTCCGGTTCGATACAAAACGATTAATGCAATCGTGGGAACGATTTAGATGTTTCGCGATAGCCCTGTTGGTCCAACCAGAGGTTTTGAACGCGTCGATGAAGGCTTTTTCAGCATCAGTGAGCAAATGGCCACGAGACATGTTGAAAAGTGGAGAAAAACAAGGAAAAGCATAATGAAAAAAGTTTCTCACATTGGCAGCAAAAAACAAAACTAAATTCAAGCTTTTCCGGCTCCGCCAAAGGTCAAGATCGACATACCTTTGAAGTGGACGTATAATTTTGAAACGGTTGCAAATGTCACATTTTCAGATTTTTCTCTGTATCTCGAGTAGTTTTCAATATTTTTTCTCAAAAATGGTTTTCTAGATGTAATTTGTTGCTCTGAATTCAATTTTAATAAAATTAATTGATATCTCAACCGGTTCTCAAGTTACGGCCAAAAACAAGAGTGGACGTATAATATTGAAACGCACTGTACAATAAACAATGAGAAAGAGAGAAAAACTATCAATAACGCAAGAAAACCAGCCAGAACAAATGTGATTGAGAAGCTGAGAACAGATTGCGACAAATGTTTTCTTTTGCTGTCTGATTCTCTGCTCTTTTCCCCGCCTCGTGATTTGTAAGGTTTTCTTCTATCTCTATTATCTATCTCACAATGCAATTTATTGGTTTTTGTGCATATTTATTTTTCTATTACCTCTAAAACCAATGTGAACTCTTCCGACACCACTGTTTGTGGGGTTTTATAGAAACGTTCATGTTCATGAAACACTCGTGACATCGCCTCCATTGAGAATCGAATTGGTTCGCTAATTTCCATAACAATGACATCCACAGCAACGGTCATGAACACTCTTGTGTCTGAAATCAATTAGTGTGTAATTCACACAAGTAGAAGGTGCGTGATTCATGTCTATGTGTGTAATAGAACGCTATGTCTGATTGAAATCAATATAACATATGCATACCTCGTGGCGTCTCTGTGTTCAACACTTCAAACATGTGTACTCGCGGGTCCCAATTGGCCTCAATCAGGAAGACGGCTGAATCAGAGCCTGAAAATTGACTGCCTTACCATTGCTTTCAACTAGTCTAACCTGTCTCGTTTCTCTGCATTTCAAGTAGCTGTAAGTCTGAGTGTCTCAGGTTTCTTCCAGCCGCTAGTAGCATACCAAAGCATTTTTTGATATTTAACAAAAATCCTTCCACCTGAAAAAGAGCAAAAGTTAATCTTCTCAGTGCTTAGAAAGTCACACCTGTTTTAACTGCACCACAATTTTTTTCTCTCGGTCTCTCCTCACTTTGAAAACCCCGTTATGCTGCGGACACAACTTCCAGTTAGGCTTTTCCATTGTTCCATCATTTTCTTTAATTTCCAAAATGCTCTCGAACAAGAATTCCATTCGGTTTGGTACTGCTGGCACGTTCTTATTAGAGAATGCGTAGGAAAAGCAATACAGCGCTTTGGCTGCAATTTCAGATTTGCTGGCTCGAAAAACGTGACATTGGTGTAGAACATCTGACTGATTGTTTTCTCCTCTGAAAATAAAATTATTAACTCGCGTTAAAAAAAGAAAAAATTTTAGAATCTGATTTTCATTACTAAGAATATTGCTTACACGTTAATCTTTTGCGTGAATGAAATTCCAAAGCAGTTATTTTGACATGTTGAGTTTTCTCCTCGAATGCAGAATCGAATGTTGACTAATGAGAACGACGATAAAATTTTTTCTTGTGCGTCTATCAGCCTGAAAACTTTCATATTTTTTCATTATCCGTGCTAATAACTCGCCTCACTGTTCCTGATATATTATGAGGAACTACTAGAGTGACATTAACTGTTTGGGCCCCTTTTTGCTCGTCGAGCACCTGGTAAAAAAGAATGTTGAAATGGAATTATCTGTGTGTAAAAACACACCTTCATTAGTGCCTTCATTTCATTGTCATTGTCATTGTTGACCAGCTGTGAACATCCTAGATATTGAACCTGAAATTAGCAACTCGTTAGTAATTTCATGCATTTGTTATGAAACTCACATTTGTGAACTGTGTAGCTTCCGTGAAGTCTCCGAATTTCTCCATTTACTGATGATATTATGCAGCCTTGAAAGTTGTACTCGTTTAATAATCTGGAAGAAACTCGGGTTTGAATAAATCGATGAATTTGCGCAGCAAATGAACGGGGAAGACACAAGAAACAAAACAAATACAAAAGGTCATCTCAGGAATTTAAAAATAGGTCATCGAGAAATCGATACAGTCCAGAATCCGGAGGCAAGGCATTTAGAGAAAATATGTTTTGTATAAGTTGGATTGACAGAAAATGAAGAAAAATAGTCACAAGAAACGATAAACAACTACTGTGTTTTTATTTTTCTTTCGCACCCTCTCTCTTGAGGTGTTCTCTCGCCTGCATGCCTCATTGAGTGTGCTGTTGTGTATGGCCTTATGCGTGCAGTCCGGCGGGGCGCGTTTGCAACACTCCTCAACTCACTGTTTTCTTATGCGCGTGACGAATATAGTTTATTCGCGCACGTTCCTTATCGTTTTCTTCTTACTCAAATTTTTCTTATATTTTTGTTCCATAACTAATAAGTTCCAATTCGTTTCAGAATGATATCAGAAGATGACGTGGAATATACAGTAAAAGAACCGAGTTTGAAAGATATAGATGAAATAGTTGAGACACACGAAGAAGGGTCAACAGATGGCTCAGTCTCCATTGCCGCTATTGAAGTACAAAACCAGACAAGGAAAGAGATCGAAATTGAGAAAGAAAATGTCGTGAGTTCAAGAAGCTAATGAAAACATGTATTTGGACATCTAATTTCATCTAGAAATTCCTGATAATTACAAAAGTGTGAAAAAAATCTGAGAAAACATCGAATTTGCTTGTTTTTTTAATCACACTCTTATATTTCAGACAATACCAACGCACGATCGTCAAAGTTGGACAATGCGGCTGATTTCTTCAGATAGTTTTGACGCTTCAATGGCAGTGGAGTATATGAACTCAATCCAAGATAAACCTAGCTTGACATTTCTTGGTGAGTATGATTCGCGCTCTGAAATTATGGCTTCAACTTTTTTGTTTCAGGAAAACGGCTTTTCGATTTGCCCGAAAAAGACTTGGATTTTTACTTGCCTCAGTTGATGTATCTCTACGTTACAAAAGTAGACGCGGCTAGTGTGTCCCATGCTTACATTGAAAAAAGGTATGATATATTTCGGTGGAAATTGTGGAGCCAATTTTTATTTTCAGACACAAAAACGATGCGCAGTTCACTGTGTTCTGTATTTGGCTCCTCAACTGTTTCACGAAAAACATTCCGAACAGATATGAAAATCACGCGCTCATGCTGAAAAGCTTGTTGAGCAGGTCAAACACATTGGGAACATCAAACACATCGGAAAGTTTAAATATCTTATCTTTGGACCGTTTGGAAGAGACAAACTGGACAGTTGGTGAGTATCAAAAGTTGAAGTGATATCTTAAAAAAGACATGAAGTATTCGAAAATAGGATACTACTTTTATTGCGTTTATTAGTTATTTATCTTTATTAAATGATTCAAAGTTAAACCACAAAACTCGCTCATCCAGAAGTCGGGCAAACGCTTCTCTTAACGATTTTGAATCATTTTCAGGATCCAATTACGGGAGAAACACTGGGAGCATTTCGACGTATCATGCATCTTCGACTCTTTCATCTGACGTTGATTTGTACGAAAAACCTCGTTTTGGCCCAGTCACATCTCAACTTCTCAACAATCAGTTGAATTTTATCAGCAGACTGGTTTTCATTGGTGTGAAGCTGACGGAGCAGCATTTGTTCAGCTCAAAACAGGAGAAAACAATTGCATTACACTCTGAAATGAACATGCTGAATTCCATGCTTCCAAGCTCGGTTTGGATTCCATTTGACTTTGAGAACACAATTTTCAATCTTTGTGTTAACGAAAGTGCGGTATTAAACAGTAAGGAGAAGGTGAAGGAAACATGCTTAGTTTTTTTTGCAATAGTTTCTTGTGTTCAGGTGCCATATGTGTTTTTCGCTGAAGTCATTCGATCCTCACCCCACTATAACTCTAATTGTAACATTAAAACGGCAACCTCTCTGAATCAAAAACTGAAGCATTCCGCCAGCAATAATATATTGATGAAAAACAAGAGTTATCACGATTCAACAGATCCATCTATTGCTGTTTTTGCTGAACCTTGGTCAGAGAAAAAATCGCGAATCCGAGAATCCAGTCGTTACGAAAATCATCAAAAATGGGATTTGATTCCAGTTATTGTAAAAACTGGCGACGATTTATCACAAGAAGCATTTGCTCAACAACTTCTTTTCACATTTAAGGTAAATTTGCAAATAATCAGTTCTAACAATCGCCCAACAAATTCCAGGAATTATGGCGCGAGGAAGGCGTTCCACTTTATCTGAGGCCTTATAAAATTGTGTGCATCGGATCAGATGCGGGACTCATCGAACCGGTTCTTGATACTCTATCACTTCATCAGATCAAATGTCATCTCACCAATCTTTTCCGTACAAACGGGAACACCGCCACCCCATCGTTGAAAAACCATTTTGAAAATGTATTTGGACCTGTGAATAGCGAGACTTATGTGAAGTAAGTTTGAAGTTTTCTTCTAGTTCAGATTATTTTTTTCAGTGCACAAAAGAATTTCATTCAAAGTACTGCTGCATATAGTTTGGTTAGTTACTATTTGCAACTGAAAGATCGTCACAATGGAAATATATTACTGGACATGGAAGGCCATTTGATTCATATCGACTATGGTTTTCTACTATCATCATCGCCTAGAAACTTGGGATTTGAGACTGCTCCGTTCAAGTTGACAACAGAAATTAGTAAGTGAAAGCGCTTTCTGATATCTTATCGGCATAATGAAGTGAAAAGCAATTTGAATTATGTTACAGTTGACGTTATGGGTGGAATAGACAGCGACATGTTCCTCTACTATAAAAGTTTACTGCTCCGTGGGCTTATGGCTGCCAGAAAACACCATCGTCGAATTGTTTCACTTGCTGAAGTTATGTCTGCTGGTGAGTTTAGCAAGGAAGGAGATTACTAAAACTGATGTGTTACAGGATCCAAAATGCAGTGTTTTCGGGCTGGGCGTGAAACAGTTCGTGCACTGGAGGCTCGATTCCATGTCAGCAGTACTGATGAACAACTCCAGCAACTGGTCGACACTCTTGTGGAAGGTTCTCGAGATAGTTACACAACACGGTTTTACGATTCATTCCAATACTATACGAATGGAATTCATTGAGTCAGTTTGCTGTTGGCTAGTCTTTCATACTTTTTAGAATCTCATATCTTGTTTATTGTTACTGTCGTGATGATCAAAAAGCATTTTCCTGCGCTTATCAGAACTTTTCGCTTTGTCATATTTTGTATATTTGATGAAGTTTCAGTGATTTGCAATGAAAGTTTTATATTAAACCGGAAACTTTTTATATTAAACTTTGAATGAGTTTAGCTATTTCAATTCCTGTTTCAGTAAACTTCTAAATGAGCAAATGTGTTAAAAAATCGATTTATCTGAGGAGTATACTTTTTTTAAACGTATAGTCAGAAACAAAGACAATGTTATAATTTATTTTGATAACGATGAGATGTATTTCAAGAAACATGGTAATTAAAAAAATACTATTTCTCTCTATCAGTGTCAGCATCGAAAAACACATTCACTACGTCGACAATGAACTCTGGATAAGTCTTCTGCAGAAAATGACCTTCATTCGTGAAGTTGGCAGTGATGAATTGGTCTCCAGATTTGATATTTTCCTGTATTTTTTGTTTCGCTTTTTCTGCATCGTCCTTGTTTTTGATAATATAGTGATTCTTATTCGAAAAATACATGGCAACTTCTTCTGATTGATGCTCATCGATAAGAAAATCTTTCGAGCCATACCCGTAGAACACTCGTACATTTGGCTTATTTTTCAAGTCATCGATATTCAATTTTTGTTCGTCAAAGGCAAACGTTTGCATAGGTAAAATGGCGGCAGCGGCAACTTTACCGTGGGACACTCGAAGACCAATAACATCGTTGTAAACTGAAACAGATCAATCATTACGATTTTCATGACGAATTAACGTACACCAGTGCAAAATTGGATGAAGGATCATGTTGATTGTTGGGTTGTGACGTTTGATCAAAGATATGATGAAGTTGATAGCTCCCATTCTAAACCAATTTTGTTAAAAAAAATTTTTTTTTCTTGTTAACCTCTTACTAATTCCTTTGTGCGGAGCGAACCCAGGAGAGTTGATCATTACTGCTCCTACTAACGGCCAATTGCTATCGTCCTTAAAAAACAGATTTTGCAGGCGTTTCAAATCCCTAGCTTACTGATAGCTCACTGGTCATCTGCAATGCGTTCTCTCCACCTCGCGAGTGGCCCATAATCACCAATTTATTGACGTTTTTCAACTCCAATTTTTCCATCAAACTTTTCATGTAGGAGTTCCGATCTTTATTCGTGTAGCTGTTGTGTAGACCACCACTTACAAACTCTGATCCCGGATAATTAGTGCTTATCATGCGAATTTTTTTCTGCTCGAACAATAATTTCATATATTTGAAATCGTTATGAGTTCCTGGAGAACCTGACAGTGTGACCACTGTTCCTTTGGTGCCGGCAGGGTCCCCAATATCCTACAGAAGTATATATAGGTATGGTATTGATGATTAGTACAGACCACATATTTTGACTCGACGGTAGTAAATCGATCCATGGCTTCACCCGTTTTATATGTGACATTGATGACTTTCATGTACTCATTCAAATCGAAGTAGGTAGTACTTCTAGCACTTTTTTTCCTAATCTGAATCTGAAAAACATCAATGTCCATATTTGATGCTTGATCACTTACACTAGCTATATTTCTAAAAATAATAATGCGATTCCGTGTTAAAATATTTCTTGTAGCAAGCATCTGAAATCAATAAGGTGCGTTTGATTAAGAAATTATATGAAATATAAAGCACCTGTCGACAAAGGTTAGTCAAAAAATATGTTAAACCAAAGTGTTCAATAATAATAATAAATAACTTTTATATCGAAGCATTTTTCGTTTGATTGTTATGGAATAAACATGTAAAAGCGAAGTCGAGATCAAGGGGAGAAGCTGATGATGCAACAATGTTCAAAGAATACAAGAAATAAATATTTTGATCTTATCAGAGACTCAGAAAACATGCTAGTATAGGAAACTGTTCTGGGAGACAAAAGTGACAAATGGGGTGATAATCCAACGAGTACAGAAATAGAAAATCAAACCGGAGAATATGGAAATTGGAAGAGCCGGTAGAGCACGCTTGAAGACTGCAAGAAGAACGAGAGTGAAGCACAACCCTATGAGAATTGCAACGTAGCAAGCGATTGTAGTGTTCCAGTCAAAGTAAGATGACGCTTTGCCAAGAAGAACAGAATAGAAGATGAAGTCACCGAGTCCTAGTTTGACACCTCCTGTTGAAGTATTATTTCAGTTTCATATTCATAATTCGACTGAAACTTACTTTCTTCCTGGTAATCATCATGGCGAGGGTAGTTGAGATGTTCTAATTGTACTGCAGGGGTACGTCGTTCAATCCTGACATTTTGCGGCTGATTTCTAGCAGCTGGAGGAGCCTCCTCAACTTGGACTTTCTGAGGAATACGTTTCACCGCTGTTCGTTTGGAATCACTTTGCAGTCCTGGTGCAAACCCAGTGTTGCCAGCAGATGTAGATGGAGCGGCTAAAACATATATATTCATTCTATGTAACCGTCGCTGTTCTATACTCACCTTCAGTGGTAGCTGGTTGTTCGCTAGTGGTTCTTGACTCTTCTGGATTCTCGAGCGCGGTGACCAGCACATACGGATATAAGACTCCAGCTGAAAATTCAGATGAGACACAAAAAAATGGCCTTGTATTGGCTTTCCTACAATTGTTACTGAACCATAAAAATAAAAATTTACATGAATATATGAGAGCTGGAAAAATTGGTTCATTCCTTTCTTGTGCCGTTTCAACCAAGTATCTCAGTGGTCCTTTTGGAGTGAGCACAGCGACAAGATCCCAGACCGATATGACAAACAGCACAAACCAAACTGTCCATTCTGGTAAGTATTTGATGAATACAAGAGCCATCAATGCTGACATTGTGATAAGGTAAAACTGTTGCAAGCGTAGTGGGCCTTTCCAGTGGATACACATCATACCCAATACTCCATAGTTTCCAAGTGCAAACAAAATTGTTACTGCAGACGGAGACACATCGAAGCTTTTGAGGACTTCTCTGAAAAACAAATTGTTTGTCATAACGAACATTTGATTGGGAACATACTGAACATAAATTGTTGTGAACAAGAATAGCAGCAGAAAACTGCTGATTATCAACCAGCCGTGGATTAATTTGTAAAATTTGTACTTGTAGAACACGATGAGAAGAACTGTCATGAAAACAACAACACAAAGCATCACAAGAGCATTTCCGAGCGACATCAGTCCTTTTTCCACAATACTGTCGGTCTCTTTGACAAATGGAGTGTAAAGCCTGAACTGTTCAAATTAAACTAATATATTTTATGCAGGTAAACTAATAAAGTGAAAATTCGATAAAACTTACAAATGCCTTCCATTATTCTGACTGTAGAATGTGATAGTATTCATCGTAAAAACTACAAGCGCCATACACAATGAAACTGGAACAAATAAGTGAATAACATGAGATGCTCCGTATTTCAGTTCGGCTTCTTCTACTTGATTTTCTTCCTCTGGCCTACTTCGGTTTGAGATTAGATTTGTGCCATATGTTGTCTGGAAGAATGGAAAGTTTTAGCGTAAAAATATTTATATCAAAAAACTCACAAGCGTCTCAGTGACTGTTCCTCCTCCATCAGGTGGATCTCTGTTAGAAGACATCTGAAAAAAATAAGTTAATTCGTCGAACGTATTTTTCTCCCGCAAAGAAGGAATAATGCAAAAACCGAAACATCGTACATCCAAGAAACGTTGAATAGAAAAAATGGAAAAAGTTAGGCCACGTCGGCCACAACCAGACGGCCATCCGCGCGTCATCAACAAGAGAGAAAAATGAGACAAACAGAAATGAGTGCCAGATGTGACCCGTTGGCTGCAGTCGTCAGTCTGTGTGAGTGTCAATTGTTCCCCCCACCACCTCCTTCACTGTCTCCGTCTCCACGTTAATAACCTCTTCTCGGTGAGCGTTTGTGAGCGCATAGTGGGACGCTCTCTCTATGCGAGTGAGTGACCCTGTGTCTGTGTGCGAGTGAGTGACCCTGTGTCAGAGAGAGAGAGAGAGAGAGAGAGAGAGAGAGAGAGAGAGAGAGAGAGAGAGAGAGAGAGAGAGAGAGAGAGAGAGAGAGAGAGAGAGAGAGAGAGAGAGAGAGAGAGAGAGAGAGAGAGAGAGAGAGAGAGAGAGAGGCCTATTCCAGATAAAACGGGCTTCTTCCAGCAAAATGACAGCCATGAACTGTTTGTCCTTCAAAAGTCAATTGTTGAAATTCTATTTCAGGACAGTACTGTACTGAAATAATATCATTTCGAAAGTGTAGACGTTTTTCAAAAAGCTATCTATTACTCTTGTCTGAAATCAATGAACGTTGAGAGCGGATATCTCGTTAAATTTTTTCTTAAAGGCCCAAGAGCGAATACTACCGTACTTTCAGCTTATTCTAAGTATTACGTTTTTATTTTCTGAATTTTCCGACGATTTTCTTCGTTTTTTTTCTATGTTAATCTGAAAAAAATACTTTAAAAACTGTGAAAATCGTCAAAAAATATAGAGGATAAAACATATTATTTAAAAAAAGGTTCAATGTACGGTATTATTTTCTCATGTGCCTTTAAGAAAAATTTAACGAGACATCAGCTTGTAACGTTGATTTCGGACCAGAGTTATATTTAAAACGATTTTTTTCAATTTTGTTGAAAACGCCAATAAGATCAGTTGCCGGAATATCCAAACATGCATTATTTGCCTGCCAATTTCATAGGGTTTATAGTCACATTATTGTTATCATCGATACCGATAAAGAATTGCAGAATAATGCGGCAAAAATTAAGTACAAACCGTGAATAGTTTGTGTTCTATTCGCAATAATTTAGATCTTTCACATTATGTTTCTTCGTTTGAATTCTGAACATTTATTCATTAAAAAAATGACAGCAAATAATATAATTTATACATTTTGTCTATAGCAAAAAAGCTGTTTGTCAATGTAAAAAACATGAACTGGAATCTTTGATTTTTTTGCATTGTGAAAAATTTGACGACAAGCAAAAGTTGGGAATTTCTAATTTTCATTTTGATTTGATTATGTCTGAGAGCCAATGATTTGCGAATCGTTGAGCATTTGAACTTTTATACATCTTGGTCCAATTGTGCCACGTTACGGTTCAGTTTCTGCAAATGAGTTTTCAGTAAATTAATGAAGTTTCTCGATTAAAACAAAGAATTCGAAATTGTAACAAAAGTTTGGTTGTAATATGGGTAAATTGAAAAAAAAAACCAAAGTCTACAAACATGCGGGTTTTTTGGCTAACAAGAATATCAAGAATACATCATGATAAAATTTCGGAGGATAGGCGTAATTACCAAAAATAAAAACATTGCTCCTGTTAAACTAACGTAATTTTTTTTTTTTCAAATTCCGAAAAATCTTTCTTCATACATTAAGCAACATGTTTGTCGATCTCTTCTGATGAGCGGCGTTGATGGTTCCTCGTTTCTGACGAGCCTTTGTGCAGCACGTATTTCCTAATGCGTTTCTCCGAATGACACAGTAGTCCAGCAGGAGGACAGCAATTATCAAGACTGCACAAATAACAAAGGACCATATTGCCCACATTGGAACCTGAAAAGAATTCAATATAAATTAGCTTCTGAAAAAAACTTCAATACAAAATCTACAGTATTTTTTTCGAAACGCATTTTTTCTAGAAATTTCAAAGAGTGGTACTTTCTGCATATGTACATATCAGATAGCACACCAGAAAATTAGAAAATTGCAAATCATAAATCCGTATAACCTTTTTTTTGTTAAATTTGTTCCATATCTTGCCTCATAGATGTTATTGATTTTTGAAATTTTCATACTACAAAAAACGATAGTTGCAAGTCTCGGGCCGGCCCGTCGTTTGTGCAGACGCTGACTTTTTTGAATTTTTCAAAAAACATTTCGATTTTTCAAAAAACATTCGCTGTGGGCAAACTAAGAATAAATTTTTTCAAAAATATAAATAAAAACTACCTATAGTTTGACTACTTTCTAGTTTTTTTTTCAATTTTGTTAACCAATGTAAAAAACATCCTATTCTTTTTTCAGCTGTGGGAGGCGGGCCAAGAAAATTTCTCCTTCGGCCCGGCCCGGCTTTTTGCAACTATGCAAAAAACTGGCCAATCAGAAAAGTTGAATGAAAAAATTAGACTAATAAAAACTTTCCGTTTTTATACCAGTTTGATATCGTTTTTCATCTTTCAGTCCACAAAGAAGTAAACTAACCCCTGCCAATCCATTTTGTACAGTGCTAGAAATGTATTCGTGCGGATACGAGTCTGGCTCGCCGAACTGACCACTATGATAGCTCTCCATCTGTTCAACTCAATACCATTCTGGAAAATAGTCTAATTTTAGTTTTTTTGAAAAGGACTGAATTTATACACGCGTTTCATTTGCGAATAAAGTCAGGAAACGGGCAACGAAAAGCTAGTGAAACTACTTATCGCGCTCAAATGATTTTGAGCATGAGAGAGATAGAAAAATAAGTGTTGCATTCCAGTGAGCGAAAAAAACAAACTGAAAAAAAAATTTTGATAAGTTTTTTGAGCTTGTCTTCAACCCTTTAAAGGAGGCCAGACTGTTGAACTCATGACAGGCAGCTCAGGGGTACAGCGCCGTTACCGGCGGAGCTACGGGGGCGCAAAGGCGCCTGACGACCGATGGTCTACATAAGCGCGGCGCGATTTCGTCCCCCGAACTGGCCCCGAAATTTTTGCTGTCTCGCCTCCTTTAAATAAAAAAATGATTGCTGATATGGAAATAAAGCTTGCAGAACAAAGAAAACCCCTCAGAAAACAGAATTTGGCATAAATTCATTCGAAATAATTTTTTAAAGCTTTTCACATTTTTTGTACAAGTATTTTTCAATCTAACGCTAATCAGTAAAACCTAAAAAAAATCTATCTTACAAACAGAACTTCTTAGTTTAATCATATGTGGATGAGTGTAAACGCTAACAAGGGGATAATTCCAATTCCCCAGACAGTGCTCAATAAACGAGATTCAGAGGAAATGCGATAAACACTTAGTGGAATGAGATGAGCTTGAAAAAAGAAAATGGAGTGAGTGGAGTGGCGGTTGTTTACCAGCTGAAAGAAAAAAAATCTTCTACAAATTTTCCCACTGACGTCAGGAATAAAGATCTTTCGGCTTCCTTTTTAGGTGGAAAATTCGATGATGAAAGGAGAAGGACACTTTGTTAATTTAAACTTTTTCTTGACATCATTGAGGTCAAAGGCGTTTGCGCTCAGATGTGTAGAAATGAAGGCAATTTTCTTCTTGAAATTGGCATTTCTTCTGCTAGCTGTTCATGTGTATTGTAACCGAAGTTTTTTTTTTCAATCCAGAACTTGAATGATACTATTTGTTTCTGGAAGTTAAAAAAGGTACAGTAACTCAATACGATGCACTGAGCAATAGTACTACTGCCGCGATAAAAAATAATTGGAAATTAATAAAAAAAGACCTGGTCTTCCGGGCCCCATATATCAAGCTTACATATGCGAGTTAGAAGAGATTTGAATCATGTGATACTTTTTTCCTCCTCTTTGGTTCTTCGCTGTGGGCAAACTAAGAATAAGAAGAAGAAGCAGAAGTAGCGACACGCACATATATACACTCAGACACTGACAAAATGCAGGTTTTCTTCATCTCCTTTCTAAGCTCACCACTCGAATGTCGTCTTTCGTTTTCTCGCATCTCGTTTACTTTCAATTAATGTGTCCTGCCATGCTAATATGGAATGCGAATGAATTTTTTTCTCCTTCTGTTGCTGCTTAGGCGACAAAGGAGAAGCACAAACACACCCGACATGGCTACTACTCCCATTGCCCTCCTACTACCACGTTTTACGATTCAATCGAAAAAGGATGTCAAACTATTGGAATGAAAGAGAACAAAGGAAAACGGAGTGAAGGCAAGACAAAGAAGAGCATTTCAATGGTAAAAGTGAAAGCAATCATTTGCGCATTGTTATTTGAAAAGAAGAAATGGAACATTCCTTTAAAATGCGTCTTGAAATTTTTCGAAAATTTGGTATCCAAATTAAGCCAAATTACGACCGTACAAAACTTATTGCTTATTTGAGCAAGCGAAATTTTGAATAGTTATTGACGACTCCAATGAGTCAAACGAAGTATATATGCATAGAAACATTGTAGAGTTTGTAGTTTTGTAAATGAACTCAAACAAATAAGAAAAGATTTTCGCCAGTTTTCACGTCGAGTACCCATCAGTTAAATGAAAATTGAAAGAAGAAATTTGGAAAAAAAGAGACATTCCCTCATCAGAACTAAACGCAAGAAGCAATGGTCGGGAGAGAAATGCATAGCGAGAAAGAGAAAGAAAATGCATGCAGTCACCATTTGCCACACACAATTAACCGAGTTAGCCCTAAATTTGCTGAAAAAAATAGCGTGAAACGCAGAAGCGTTTTCTTTCTGAGTCTGCTCATCGATTGTGATGGTTTCAAGGGACTAAGCAAAAATGGAAATAACACGTCAATAGTACTTTTAAAGTTCAGTGAAAAGTTAAGACAATTGACTGAACGAGTTTTACAAAGGAAAACACAGAAATCCTTGTTCATTCATTTATAACTATTTAATGAGAATGAACATAATTTTACAAACGTGAACATTCACATAACATTTGGTTTCAAGATCATTTTCTTTTTCGCACATGGGAATACGATTATATGTTTGTTTTCAATGTGATTGGGCTCCAGAGAATATGTTTATCGAGCATTAAATCTATCGAGTGAAAAATGAACAACGAGCATCTCACGTTTGCTATTGATATTTTTCGAATGGTTATTGTCATACAGGATTGGTTAACTGAGCACAATGTGGTTCAAATGAGTCTTCCCAATTCATGAAGGTGAATACAATTAGCACAATAAATGACCGGAAATAAAGACGAATACTTTTCAGAGCGCTATAAACCGGACACAACCATGAACAATAACAACAGTACTACCGAACGATATTTAATATTCTATGCGAAGAAAACAACGCCTCCATAAATTTTTTCAGCTTCTCTGCTTTTTTCCCACAACTTGTCGTAATACCCAAGTCTACCAATTCAGGACTCTACCAGATATTTTGTTGATTAAAAATTATATCATTTTATAAATCGCTATATGTGTTTTGTTTTGTGTGCATTCATCCGAACCATTTTTTCATAAGCTACCAATTCTAGAAGATGTTATGCATTTTGTCTCCATCCACTTCTTCTCTTGTTTTTTTTTTCACCATACCCTCTATTCACGTTTTTTTTTCTAGAGACCCTGACTGGAGTTTTTCTGAAAAGAATGAAAAGAAATTCTAGAAATTGAGTTCGTGAATAACGTATTTGTGTAGATGAAAAGAACACAAGAAAGGGAGGCGGAAATTGAATGAGTGTTTTTCCGCTTCAAATCAAAAACAGCATTTCGATGAAAAGGTGGATGCCTGAAAACTAGCATTGCTTAAATTTTCTTCAATTTCACCTATAGAGATGTCACATGCTGTTCCAACAAGAGTAAAACTTTTCTTAACCAAGTGTTTAACAAAACCCAAGTCTTCAACACTTAATTAACTAGTGAGATTAATTCTAACTCTTCCTATCTTAACGTTTTTCTTATTCCCTTTTTTTCGAATAGTTTCGTTTCAGATGCTCCCCATTAGTAACAATTCGAGAGCTTCCAAGGATCAATCAGACAACATATCCCATAAATCCCAACAATTTCTCACATTATCCACTAACTCCAATTATATACAACATGCTTTCAACGATTCGGCCACTGAGCAGTTTTCCGGATCTCGAAATTCGTCGGTATCCATCAACTATCCAGAATTGAAGGAATGCGCAAACGATCTACTCTTGCCAAGCCATGTAAGATTTAAACTCATTTTAAGAAATTTAACGAAAATTTATTGCATCATGAAGAAATTTGAACTCGCGAATGTTTTTGGAGTTTATTTGAACGTTTCTTACTTCTGATATCTCTTCAAAATCATTCAACCATTCAACACTGTATCAATTTTATTGCTCCCAAGGAGTTGTGATTCGGAAGTTTATAGATTTCATAGTTTGACATGATCACATAGAAAGCACCAATCATCGCTCATCTTTTTCAGTTATTGCCCCCCAGAGACCCATGCACATCTCGACTGTCAACATCATCTGCTTGGAATAGTATTCGTCTTTCGGCTCTCTCGTTATCTCGCGTGAGTTACTGACAGAAATTAGTCTAGAAAATGCTAAAAACATCATTTGCTCATCAAAAACGTAAACTGATCTAGTTTTCATACATAGTTCTCAAATGCACTCATGTCATGAGTGTTTGTGACACATCTCCACTGAAGTATTTTTGTTCTTTTTTCTCCATCATCTAAAGAAATGAATTACCGACCTGGTAAAGATAGTTCAAATCACCTACTCTGGCGTCAAGCGTATTCTCTAGAAAACACACCTCACAGAGCATACAATAAATGTCAAAACCGCTCACCAGCTGTTTTGGTAAGTAAATACGCTCACGAGAATATTGCTTATTTTCCTATTCCTGTTTAATGGCGCATATGGGACAGAAATTTGCAGTTCGCACTCGAAATCTAGCTGCTCCCACCTTGTTTTAGTTTTTCAAGTCGATTATTGTTCTGCATTTTTTTACATTTCAATGGGAATTGTACTATCTTCTTCTTGAGAAGAATATTCTGAAAATTCAGGCTTAATTTCGACAAAAGAACAAAAACACATTTGCTCCCTTTAAAAAAATTTGGCTCTTTATGATAAGGGGGGGGGGGGCATGAGAAAAGGGGGCCCATAGGTAAAAATGTGGACTAAGTTAAGATATATCAATTTTTCAAGTTTTTTATATGTTTCTATGAAAATTCCGTACTTTGCGCTCGTTTCCACAAAAAATCATAATTTAAAAAAATTTCTGTTTAGGCCGGTTTTTTGCATGAAGAATACTATATTTTCCATTATAACTGCGTGATTTATACTTTTTCAGCTGATGTTAGATTAATTCATGCTTAGTAGCAAAAAAAGTAAACAAAAATGTGCAAAAAATGATATCAACTGAAAATTTTAAGAAATGATGAAAAGTGTTCAAAGTTCAAAGTTTTAATGGAAACAGTCAATAAACTTGAAAAAACCGGTAATTCTCAACTCAGGCATTATTTCTCTACTTGGGCCCCCCCCCCTTTTCACCTAGGGCCCCACCCCCCCCCCTTTTCCCATGGGCCCCCTTTTCTCTTGTCATAAAAAGCCAAAAATTTTATTGTAAAAACATTCAAAACGTTTACTTTTCAGGTCTTCTTCCTGAAACCTTGCTCAAAACACAAATGCTGTTTGGGTTGCATTTCGCTTCGAGATGCCATTCCTCTTATATGCACTGTTGAAATATTTTCACTAGGTACTGAAAATTGGTAATAACTAATTTAACTTAGTTTTAGTTCTTTGTTCCACAATCGCGATTGATTTTTGGATCAATAATGGCAAAACATTTTTTACAATCAACTTTGAGGGGTATGGTACGGAAATTGCCCTGGGATACTTTGCGTTTGAGATGTTGTCAGTTTGCGTTATACGTAAGTTTTTTAGTCAATGTAAGACAAAAATTAGAACTTTCGAAGATTTCAGTTTTTACATTGACTGTGTGGAAAAGAAGGCAACGGAACTGGTATATAGTGCACATAATTTGGCAGGTTAGTTTGATCTCTTTCAATTCACATTTTTATGATCAAGTTTGTAGTGGACAATTGTGGAGCTGTCTGGGTTTTTTATTTACATTGTTGTCAATTGGTCCCGAAATACTGAGGACCACAGCATATTGCTGCCTAGTGCATTTGTCCTGATTGGTGTTACTTTGTTTGCAGCATTGGTTGAGATTTGGTGGTAAGCCTCCCAGATCTTTTGCAAAACATAAATTTTCTCAGGCTCATTATTTTTGTGGATGCTATGTTGTTTGAAAAAACTAGTGATTCATACGGAAGTAGGCGAACATCAAACGAGAACCGCGAAGATTTGGAGTCAGAATGTTCAAACAGTCCAACAATAACCCGACCAGATATCATGATAACTGAAAATTGTGAAATCGTGATCTGAAACGTTATTTTTTGATAAACTTTCAAATAAACATAAGACACAGGAAGTATAACTTCTTCGATCTCTCACTGATGCCAGTTTCTTCTTTTCAAGGTTTTGCGACCTGTTGTTGCCAAATGTTTGTAAATCAGAGATAACTAAAATACATCCAAGATATAGGAGACAAAAATCAAATTTACAAAATCGTCTCTCCTAATCCTACACTTTCTCTGAGGTGTTCCGTTACGCAACATGTCCTTTTTCCTTTTTTGTTTCGCGCAATAACCGGATTTTTGATGTTCGAAAAAAAAACTTGAAACATCGAGTTTTTATATCCAAATGGTTTTACTTCCTTTGTGGTCATAAAATTTCACATGATGATAGTTTTAGGAAAACTTGAAAATGGGAACCCAATTTGTAATTAAAAATCAAAACGGTACGCTCAGGTACAATTACTTTTGTAGTATTGTAAACTGTTCAATACAACAACAACCAGCGCATCAAATATATTTCAGCAAGACGTACAGTACCGATCAATAAGATATGTACTGAAAACTAAATAACTAGGATTTTCTTAATTCCGTGAATGCATACTTTTCAATCTCAGTCTGTTTTACACCTTCCAAATTTTTCAAAATGATCGGAAACTTGACAGTCGAGCTCCAGACTCCTGAAAATGGTCAAAGTCGTTTAAAAAATACGTTTTTAATATTCCATTGGACAGAATTGTATGTTCTACCAACAATATAACTTATCAGTACTTTATGCCAAACAATCTGCACCTTTTTCAGATAATAATTTTTTATTAGTTATTTCTACTGTGTATCTGAAACAATATCTCAGTTTCGTTTCGTTGCTTGTCCAATGTATCATTTCAAAAAGATAATAGAACTATGATTGATTACACATCAACCCAATTGAAAAGCGCGTTTCTCGGGAGACCGCCGAGGCCTAGTTTTCATTTTCGAATTATTGAATTCCAGTTTGCCAGAATCGTCATCGTTCGGAACGAGGAACACAGGGATGACGAGGTGGTATGGTGTAGGAGAGGAATAAAGAAGAAGAGAAACGTCAAAGTGTGGTGGAGGGGGTGTAGAGCCGGTTGGAAAACGCCGAACAAGGAAAGGGGGATCTGTGTGGGCATATTCGCTGTGTGATCGTGACTGTTGGCCGTCGTCAACATCTACGTTCATTGCATATACAATACAACTAACGTTTCTTCGTTTGCGGGGAAATCCTGAATCTGGATTTCGCATCAGATCGCAACAAGCCGCCACCAGATGAACATTACTAGTATCCTGACGTGTCTCTTTCTTTGCTTATTTTTAAGAATACCAGCAGGTGTGTTTTTTTCAGAGAAGCCTTTAAGATTTATGATTGATGTTTATAATTCTGTGATAAAGCGTCAGTCCTAATTTTGCACTATCAGCTGAATTATCTCGATTTTTGAAAGGGATATTTAAGATGATTTTTTTCAATTTTTGCCTTCTCATGACAAATATTTTGTCAATTGATAATTGTTCAACATAGCTCACCAAAATAGAATTATCTATCTCAAAGTGAAATTACAGGATCAGCTTTCTATTAAACGAAATTCTCTATACATATCGTCTTCCATAAGATTGTGAAAGTTGTTCATTGATTTGCACTTGATGATAGACTTTTTGCAATTTTAATCATGTTTTGAATTTGGAACTTATATATGATTATTATTTATCATGATAATGGATCACTGATCAAAATAAATACCTACTGACGGTTAATTAAATTGAATTCAAAAAAATTGAATCGTCTGCAAACTTTAATATGTCCTTAATTTTCAGTTGGCTCCAAAACTACACAGTTAGTTTACAAGAGGTTCACAGAGGAAACATGTCAAAATGATCCGTGTCTGAATGGAGGAACATGTACACCTGGAAAATTATCATGCACATGTTCTCAAGGATGGATGGGCAGATATTGTCATAGTAAGTTACTCAATATTTGTATCGTATTTATTATAGGTTTACTTTATCACGGATAAAACGTGTAATTGTGACATGTGTCAAGATAGGATTAAAAATTTTTTTTTCAAAAGTGTTTTTTTTTAATTATTGGCATCCGATTTTCTCATTGTGTTGTTTTCAACTAAATGGCATTTATTATTTAAAAAGTCAGAGGGTTCATACATACGTTCATATACATATCTCTTCTCGAAAACCGGTATTTATTTGGAAATTCAGGAAGTTTGGGCTAGTTTACTAGAGGAAATTGTAGTATTCCAAATGAAAAAATATTCAAGGATATTTTTGTTGTTTGCCACTTTTAAAAAAAATTCTCCCTAACCTTTTTACTACGTTTTGGACGGAAAAAGTATGATATGAAACTTTAATAGAGAAAATATGACTGCACCAAACAACAAACTGAATATGTGGTGACAATTTTTTTTCAGGAAAGTGTCGTAACATCTACAAAAGTTGTGATCGATGGGCAGTGGAAGACAAGTGTCATACGATTCTGACTCAAACCAACTTTTTCGATGTCAATTGCGCAGTTTCTTGTAAAATGTGCACGCCGGACGTGAACTATGTTGCTCCGGAAATTCCATTGGCTCCTGCCTTGGAGCCTATGCAATTCTTTCTAGGAAAATGGCACTCTAGGGCCTCGAAAGGACTACGTTTCCCTACGGACTTATATGATACTGAGTATGAAGAAATTATCGACATTGCTCCAGCAAATGTTCCAATGTTTGGGCCCCCATCTCTCAATTTTACGTTAGTAGCAGTAAAGATAATATAATTAAATACGAATATTTGCAGAAGTACTTCGTGGTTTGCAGATGATACTAGAGTTATGCATGGCTTTATCACACTTAAACCAAACTCTTTCCCTCCAGAGGTTGCCATTCTCAGTACAAGCAATGAAGGTAACTGATATATTAGAAAGCTTACTTTTGCTGAATATAATTTTTATTTTTTTATTTTTTCACAGTAATGTTTTGTTTGAGGTTTGAACATGATTGAGTTGGGAACTTTAAAACATCATGTGCTCACTCTGAACGTTTCATACATGCAAGTACACCCCACCATGGATAGCAAGGTGCTGCCTTTGGGAGCGACTAGAAGGCTAAGAAGAGTAGGAAACTTGTTGGAAATGACAGTAGCTAAATTATTCAGCGAAAATAAGGTATTTGTGGAATACAGTTTGTTATGTTTGAAAATAATAGTTTTCAGGTTTCTCAATTCAAAAAGATGTTCAAAAAAATTGCCGATTATGCTTTTTAATATACGAAATTAATAATTTTTTGGCCGAATATGCACTTTCCTAGTGGTCTAATGTGTCATTTTTGATGTGATAGTTTTTTCCTATATTGCAATCATATTTTTGTGTTTCATACTAAATAAAAACTTGAAAGAATGACTATATTTTTCAGCGGATGGTTTACTTTTTGTAAGGAGAAAAGACCATACAAGCTTCCGCTTATGGCATTTTACCAAACGCCATCAAAAAAGTGAAAAAGGAGATTAACAGCTATCTTGCGTCGCAGGATGTCTTCTTCGTCATCTTCTTCGACAATTGAAAAGCATTAGATATCCAGTTATCGCCTGTTCTGCCGCCACCCCGTTTCTCATTCTCTTTTCGTTTTTTCATTTCTCGCTATCTGATTCTCGATTGATCAATTAGCTCCTCACAAAGTGTTTTATCCAAGTTTTAGTTTGGCATTAGGAGTTTGAAGAATGTTTTTGAATAATCGTTGCAAAAAAAGGAAACTCCCTCATTGTTATTTTTAATGCAATACTTGTTCAACCCTAACACTGTAACCTTTCTCAAATTGTATCCATTTGTCAACGAAATAGAATCTCGCCGTAATTCAAAAAAATCTCTTTAACTCATCTATCTCACTCGGAAAACTCACTCGGTTTATTTAGATACAAGTGGCGCTTCGTGAGATGTTATTTTTTGTTGTGAGAGCAACGGCCCCTTTTTCTGTAACGCTGTTTGCGAATCCCATTATATTTACCTTTTTGTTATTTTACCTTCTCCGATTTATTTTCACACCATAATAACAATAATAACATATTTCGAATGCGGGTTCTAGTTTTGAGCTTTGATCATGTGTTTGCTTAAGTTTTGGGCACTTTTCAAAAGGTATACATGGTGAAGAAACAAAGTTTCGGAGAAAGGCAACTACTCGTGACGGCTTCTGCATATATTTTTCTGGTTTTTCTGTTGTGAATATGACACCGCCGACCTGCAGTATTCTACAAACTCAAAGTGTTATTTCATTCGTTTTTAATTCGAGTCAATTTGAGAATTCGAATTTTTTTTTCGACAAATTTCAGAAAAATTATTTTAATTGCCTTTCTAGAGATAATTTTTTTCGATACCCATATCATAAAAATGTAGAATCTGGAGATTTATTGGCTATCTCGAGTAGAAATTCGTGCTTTTTTCGGTTGACCGTATCCACTTGACTGATCCACTTAAATCGGTTCGTTTGTCGTTTTCACCCTACCCGCCAGGGGGTCAATAGTTTATTTTCGCAATTCGAATTCCATTTGACTCTGATCGAACTCAATTTTTTCAATTTCTGAAAACCTTTTACGTCTTATAATCTAATAATATTTTGCATTTGTGTATAATGATCGTAGTGTAAGTACATTTCTGGATATATTGTCTATTCTCACAAACCAAAAAAAAACTTGAATTATGCGAATATTATACACAGCATATGAATAAAACTTTATTAGGAATTGTAAACATTACAACTTTCTTTGTAACTTAATGCATTTCTTTTTATACCAGTCTTGGCCATTCTTTCAATGTTTCACATTATCTTCTTTTATTCCACCACCTCTGCTCACATTGTTTCTCAAAGAAAGTGCACCAAACCCATACTACAGTTCATCTTTCAACATAAACAATGCTCTCGTAACGTTATTCGCAAGATTAACAGAAAGCCGTAATGTTCTGGGAGATCTGTGAGAATATATGTTTGCATACCGGTATAAAAGTTACGCTTACCTGCGCTCTTCACCATCGGCGTCAATCCTTCAAGTCGCCTACGCGTCTTCCGACTACGTACACCGAAGTTTCTTGTTTGCGCCTAAACTTGTTCGCACTTCTCGCAACGGTTCAAAAGTTACATATTATTTTCAGTTTCTTTTCATTTCTTGTTTCAGGAGCCGCTAGGTGGTAGTGAGTCTATGTGTCATGAGTCAGCTCGCGGCGAATCACTCTCAGAATACTATTGTCAGCAAAATACTACAGGTAACTATGGCTAATTTTTAAAAAAATTTTTTGCATATCATCATCAAAATTTCAAAAATTCGCTCATCTTGATTTGCAAGTACAAGTTAAAAAGTTATAGAGCATTATTAAAAATTACAAAATTTCAGACGAGCAGCTCGTAAAAAAAAACAATTTGTGTATTTTCCAGAAATTTTTCAAATTAAAATTAATAAGTTCATTTATACCATTAACACGGACCGGAACTTTACGTCCTCAGGAAAAAACCTAATAGTTAACAATTCTATATTGATGCTAAATACTCAGCGCGTCATAAGTATATGCCCACCCCCTAACATGGCGGTTCCGGAGTAACCGAGAATTTTCATAACAAACGGCTAATGCCATTCGATTCAACATAGCTGAAAACCTACACTGACAGTTTTCCGTGACCATATCTCAAAAAACAGGCGTTTTTTGGAAGAAAACCGATTTTTAGGCCGCGTCAAAAAGTATATGCCCACCCCGAAAAGGGGGAGACTACTGAAAATGCTGGGGTCATTTCATGTTTTTTGATCCTGGTATTTTTTTAAAGCTGATTTTTTGCTGAGATGTCATAGTTGAAGGTCAGGTACTGACAGAGAAGAACTGGATTTTTCAGAATTTTCAGAAAATTTTTCAAAAATCAACTTATTCCATTCCAGCATGGTTTTCGGTGTTTTAAAGTTTCAAAACACTGTCAATTCCATTTGAAATGCCACAGAGAGCTCATTCAAAATATCTAGAGCAAGGAAAATTAATATACTGCCACCACTAGGGTTGTCTCAATGCATGAAGGTCTGCAGAATCAGAGCCTCCTTTGATTACGTTGTGAATATCCTTAAAATCTCGATAGTATGCGAAACCAGGGACAGGTGACGACTTTCTAAGTAGCCCATTAAATGTGAAAAACAGAATATGGGTTGGGAGGTCTCCAACTCGACAAAACCGGCAAATGGAATCTGTCAAAGTTGGTTTCTTCAGTTTACAACGCACCAAACTACCATCTCGAGTTATCAATCAGACCGTAGTCTATATTTCTCCCAATTTTTGTCTTACATCTCCAAAATGCGTTTTTCTCATTCAAAAAAAAACAGCTGCAGTTTATCCAAACATCACTAATACAGATTAACTGTGGTCGAAAAAATCAATGCCTTCTAAGCGTGCTCTCCCGATTCAAATCTAAATCACAACCGATGTGGAGACTCGGAATGATTGGTGTAAGTAAGTATTACACTCAATACAACTTCTAGCCTTTCTAGAAAATCGTTGTCTGTCCCTAGTTTGACATACTACCGAGTTTTTTGGGATATTCCCAACGTAACCAGGGGAGCCTCTGATTCTGCAGGCATTGAGACAATCCCAGTGGTGGCAGGATATTGAGTTTTCCTTGCTCTAGATATGTTAAATGAGCTTTCTGTGGCATTTCAAATGGAATTGACAGTGTTTTGAAACTTTAAAACACCGAAAACCATGCTGGAATGAAATAAGTTGATTTTTGGAAAATTGTCTGAAAATTCTGAAAAATCCAGTTCTTCTCTGTCGGTATCTGATCTTCTCCAATGACATCTCAGCAAAAAAGTCAGCTTTAAAAAAATACCAGGATCAAAAAACATGAAATGACCCCAGCATTTTCAGTAGTCTCCCCCTTTTCGGGGTGGGCATATACTTTTTGACGCGGCATGAAAATCGGTTTTCTTCCACAAAACGCCTGTTTTTTGAGATATGGTCACGGAAAACTGTCACTCTAGGTTTTTAGCTATGCTGAATCGAATGGCATTAGCCGTTTGTTATGAAAATTTTTGGCTACTCCGGAACCGCCATGTTAGGGGGTGGGCATATACTTATGACGCGCACTGTATATCATTAACGTTTCAGGTAGCCCTTGGCCTATTTGTCACAACATCAGATTTACCTCCTCTTTCCCCAAATTATGAGCAGTTGTCTTATGATTGCTCATTCAACTCAAATTGCAGGTAAGTTGTTTTGATGAGAGATGCCCTCTCACTTTGAAACAATTTTCAGATGGATATCGGTTGGAAGTCATGTGGACCGGTGGAGAGTTGCGCGAGGTGAACCAGACAGTTTATTATGGTTAGCGGCTACAGGCACCATGCAGATACCAAGTTAGTATTCACTATCATCTTCTTTTTATTGTGCATATCTTCCTAGGAGAACCTTACGCTTTAATTGAGTCACGCGGAAACCCTGTGGATGCGCTTGTTACTGATGAGATTCGATGTCAGATTGGTTATGCAGAGCTGTCTTTCACGTATTGGGTCATTGGAAATGCTGATATCGAAATATGTTTGACGGACACGCATGGTGAAAAATTTAACTGCACCGGAATGCTGAATTCGTCAATAATGCCCGGTAAAGTTTCTTTGAAAATACCAGAGCTGCAAAAATCATTTCGGGTGAGTATATTGAAGTACGAAACATTCTTCCACAAAAAACTTATATTCAGATCATGATTCAACCAAGCTCTGATCCTGGTGTAATTGTTTTGGATGATATACGGTATGATGCTTCAATTTGCCACCCTGATGCATCTACTGAATCGAACATGATCCGAGGGAGACCTGATTTTATGGTATGTTCAAAAAAATAAAGATGGCATACGTTTTATCTCAGACTACATCGCCACCACGAAGGATTCGTCCCTGGACTATCAAACAGTCCACATCCAAAAAACCTAAAATAGTGGAAGAAGTTATCAAAGAAGTTGAAGAAGAACTGACAACAAGCTCTACCACCACTACCACCCCCAATACCACCACTACATCAACCACCACTCAGGAACCAGCTACTATTACAACCGATCACATTCCAACCATTGACCCAACTATTTCTAAAACAACTACTGAAGTTCCGTTCGATCTGCTAATTATTGGGAACAAAACTCGTCCGTTGAAAGATAGAAGATCTGGAGAAGTGGTTGAAGATTCAACTCAACTTCTCTGTGATTTCAACAACGAATTCGCTTGTCGATGGGGACCGGAAGCTGGAAGATGGGCAATAATTGAGAGCGGTGTGTCCGATTTTGCAACTCTTTTTACTCAAACTTACTACATGCCCTATTTTCAGGTGCGATTCCATCGCTGGAAGATTCGATTGCCGATATATCACTACTTCCAACTTTTCCGGCAGGTTTAGTTCTACAAGGCACTGCAATGTTGTCAAGTGATCCTATTAATTGTCAAACTGGAAATGCTAAAGTTTTATTCCGTTACTGGTCCAATGGTGATATTCTTCTTCAAGTGTGTGCACTAGGTTATGGTGAGAAATTAAACACGTATGGAGCAAATTCACCATAATCTATTTTTAGGCGACAATAATGATATTATACACTGTGTTGAGCAGTCTAGATCAGCAAGACATGAACGAAACACATTAGCAGTATTTGAAATCAACAAAGACATTATCGGGCAGTTCACCGTAATTTTTTTTTCTCAGTTTGGTAAATATAAGAATCATTGCAGTTGAATATAGTACCACAATGGGAGATAGGGCTGAAAAATCGCTTTTTAGTTATTGACGAGATAGCTTATATCGGAAAATGCGACAAAACAATATCGACTACCACTTCACAAGCCCCATTAATATTGTCGAGAACTACACCGAAATCAATAGAACCGAAAATTGCTGAACGAAGAAGAAAAATACTGACAACACCGACCCCATCAACCACAATACCTACGACAACGACAAAAATTGAGCCTGAAAGCGAAGAACAGATAGTTGAAGTAGAAGAAGAGACAACGACTACTCCGATAACTACTACTAGCAGCACTACGAAAAAAAGGTTTGCTCCAAAATTTTTTATCAATATTTCTTGCTCAGAAACCATATTTTCTATTTAAATTCGAGTGTCACGTTGATTCTGGTATTTTTTACAAACAATTATTGTCCTTTTACGAACGTCCATAATGCTTAAATATATTTTCGTAGAAAAGTGCTGACAACGTTTGCGCCTGTCTACCCAGAGGAAGCTTTCACACAATCTCCGAAGCCGAGGTAATGTTTACAAATTAGGACCCAGACATACGGACCTACAAACGAGGCCATACGAGTATATTTCATTACAGAAAAACCATCTGGACCACAACACCTGAACCAAAACAGGACGACTACTGCGACTTACTAAATTGCAGTTTTGATGGTGACCAGAAAAGCAACCACTGATTTTCAAAATGGTTTTACAGACACCGCATGCAACTATTTGAACCATGGTCTTACTAAGAAACCATGGACTTTGAGGAATCGTGGTTATGGTTATCCATTAACAGGCACTACTGATATTCGAGCAACCCAAACTAATGGACAATTCGTATCAGCTATTCTGGATGCTGGAGACATAGCGATTCTGGAATCACCGAAATTTAATGCAACTAGAAGTCTTAATGTGTTGTTGTTCCAATATTTTAGACCGTCTCAAATGACAACCATTCGGTTGTGTCTTGGTAACTTTTTATAACTTATGATCGATTTAGAGTTTTGTTTTAAGGATCGAGATATACAAATCCCATGCGAACCGTGTCATCATTTGTACAGTGTCCATCCATTCTGAGATCAGTAACTTCTAAAAATGCGTACCGCTGGAACACGGTTCATATCCAACTCCCGCCAGGGACGACTCATGTAAGATCCAACAAGAGCATTATCCGAATATAAGATGATATTTTTACAGTTCTATCTTGTTGCTCACAGTAGCGAAAAATCGGAGAGCAGAGCCGCAATAGCAATCGACAATATGCGAGTCGCAATTTGTGATACCAGAGGATTTGCACCAGACTATATCGATGAAACAACAGATTTTCAAAGTGTCCTGCAACTTTGAAACTCTTGAGTTCTCAATATTTCCTGTTATATATTCCATATTATTGTTTTTTGTTCATTTCTATCAATGTTCTCAAATTGTTGCTTTACATCATACTATTGTCTATTTGAAAATCTGTTTTTCTCTTCCTCCAGAATTTAAATACTAGATTTCTCTCGTTCCTTGTCTTTCACATTTTTCATTTTACAACATTACTTTTATTTCTCATTTTATTCACAACGCTTGTCACATCACCAAGTATTATTTACAACTTCCTATGTCAGAGAATGAGCGAAATTGTCATATGTCATATGTCCAGTCAATCATGTCAAATCGGTAATGAATCAAATGTTCTTGAAATGTTCAAGAATTAAAATGCATCGAAACGATCCAATGGGACGTCATTTTCATATTGTCCAGCATTAACTGGTATCTCTCGAGGTTCTGCATGACCATTATCTATTGGCTCATTAGATCTTCCACAGCAAAACATGTGACACTGTAAACATAAGAAGCATATAACAACAAATGTATTGAGACAAAAATAAACCTTCTTAGTTCCGTGCATGTGATCAATGTACTTGATCCATCCAAAGTTCAACTTGATGCATGCTGATCCAAGAATTGCACTACAGAAAATGATAATAATAGACATAATAGTGATTAAAAGCGTTCGCCAGCTCATTTCTCTCTGAAATTATTTTCCAATTACCCATTGTAGATAAAAAAGCACTTACCTGTAAAAATATCAATGCCGCTATCAAACCGGAATGAACAAACTGAAACAGGACAACTAAGATGAGTACAGTGGTGTTGAAAATGACTGTATCCAAAATTTCGCATTTGATCGTACAAATAAACAACAATCCCGATATCACCCAAAAAGCGCAGATTACAACGTAAACAAGCGTTGATATCCGAATCACTTCCAACCAGTCAATATCAGTGTCCTGCAAAATGAAAACGAATAACATTTCAGTGTTTCTATTTGTATTACTCCAATGTTAAAATTTGTCATCGGAACTTGTTCAATTCCAAAAGATGCATTTTCAATTTCCATACTTTGTCCGTTGTCAGTTTCCAGGATGAGTTTGTAAGTTTCCACGTCACTATCATTGTACTGTAAAAATATGTTAATCTGTTAAATAGAGCTTCTTTTGGTATGAAGGACTTAATCCGTCAAAGAACTTTTTTGTTATTTCATCACGGCCTCACAAAAAATTTGAGAAAATTGTTATCAATCCAAAGCCAACATAGATTAAACGTTAGAGGTTTTAAAGATATTAACGGAGGTTCTGAATAAGCTAAGGTAAAACATAAGTAGTTCTGAAATGAGTTCAAATAAACAGGCAGTAAATAAATTATACTTGATCAAAAATCGTACAACTCAATGAAATCTATTACACGAACTTACTAAAAAATGAGCCACCGAGAAGTCTAGTGAGCGGTTGACAGTTGAAACCAGTGAATCGCTCACGTTTGGTGTGATAGTCGAAACCAAGAATTCTTTCAAAGGATTTCTGTTGTTGTGATTAATTGGTTCCAGAATTGTAGAATTTTCATTCCACTGTGTGTACTCATAACCTCCGACATGATAGAAGAAGAACATGCTGGTGGTCGCACTGACAATTATCAAAACGACTTGTATGAATAGACTGGCTAAACCAGTTGTTTTGGGACTTATGAAAAACGTTGGAGACAAAGAGTTCAAACGTCTGCTCTGTGACTCGTCAGCACCATTGAAACCTCCTGAAGTGTCAAGGTAGGCATGGTTGATATGGGCCATCAGGTGAGATTTTCAATGAATTGATAAAACTTGTAACAAGTCTGGTGACGGTAGTTCACGAGTAGAATAAAGGTGTGTTGAGGACAGCAATCTCGTATTGCTGAGCAGGTGAAGAGTGGCGGCACATCGTTGTCATGACGATCGAAGGGAGTTCGTAATAACAAAACGGAGAGAGCAGCCAAACGGAGAGAATGTAACGTGGGCGTGTGCTCGTGTGTGCCTGCGTGCTCCGAGGGAGCTTTCAATTCACGCGGCATATGATTCATGAAATTGGATTCGAAATAATTCAGAGCAAAAAGGGCTTTAGACGCAAAAATTAGTCTTTGAGAAGCCAATCTTCTCAAATGAATTATCATTGAAATTTGAAGAGGAAAACTTCTTGGTAAGAAAAGGATATTTATGTAATTATTTAGTTTTGAGACTCAAATAAAGATCTGAACAAATGTTACCTGAAATTCGTGCTTAAGTGAACACAAAAAAACCATTATATCACAAAGATTATAAGAATATTTCAAGAAATACCTAATAAAATTACAATTCAATGTTAATCGAGAAGCTTATTTTTATGCATCTAATCTAAGAAAGGAACACAACCTTGGAAATTAGTTACACTCGCATATATAGAATGACGAAATATTGATTAACCCGAATTCACAAACAACAACACCATGATACATTTCAATGTTGTTTGACATATTGGCACCAACTTTGAACAAACTAGTTCAAAAACCTATCAAACGGGTTCGAGAAATGAAAAAAAAGAAGGAGTCGCATATACATAGAGTAGATTAGAAGGCTCGGATCCATTTGCTAGTTTCTCCATTCTTCCAGTCGTTATCCTGAATACCACAGATACAGTAAGAACAGAAAATTGTTATAAACTCACAACATCTTTTATGACTTCAGCCCGGCACATAGGACATGTGATTTTCAGGTCTAACCAGGTCTCAATACAGCTTTTACAGAAAACATGCGAACACTCCAATCTGATCGGATACGTCAAGTCTTCGTGGCAAACTGTACATTGCTGCTCCTCCAACTCGTGAACCTTCACCACTGTCCCGAACGAACTGACCTGAAATATAAAACGAATACATATGAAATGAAATATATGTTGAATTACCGTGAGCAGACAGCGAACCGATTTTTTGACCGAGAGAGAATATCGATATACTTCTCCAATTTTCAAGGAAAAGTAAACAAAACAGAAAATGTTTATCATGAATCCAGAGCCAGGCGTCACGAAAAGGTAATAACGAAGCCAGGGACCAAAGGGAAGGGCACAACGATACATCTGCAATGGAACAATATGATGAAAAAATTATTCTGTCGTACCTGCGAACAATACTCGACTGTTTGAAGCAATTTCCGCTTGAAAGAGGAAGATGTGTAGGCATACGGAATGATCAAAATCTAAAAATAACAATCTGAATAAGCATATTCCTAAATCTGCAAGGCTTACCAATGACTTTGGAATTAATGTGATTAATTTGAATGAAGTGTCCGTCACGATGACTCCGTAAAACGTGGATGACATTGTCAACTCTTTGTATTCACCGCTCATGAAATACTGAAAAAATTTTTTGGAGTGTTTTTGATTAGCTCAATTTTCTTCACACTCACCAAAACATTTAATCCAAAAGTGTTTGAGAACTCAAAATCCACTAACGAATAGTTTTGGAGATAAACAGCAGTGATCATGCTCGATGCGAAGCAATAGATAATTTGGAAGAATTTGTTCGTGAATCCTGAAATCAAACAAATACAATTCAGCAATTTCTTTGAAATAAACCTCCTTCCATAATTCTTTGGTTGATTTGGTTTGACAAATAAAACGCCACAAAAAGAACCCCAAATTGGAAAATGTCGTACATATGATCATAGGTTAGCTTTGCCACAAACAGTGCAAGAAATGGAAGCACATTTTTGAGAAATGTGATTACTGATTGTCCTTGTTGTGTTTCTAATCGATTTCGGATGTGTTCCAATCCATGGCGAAAATGATGTTGATCGAGTACTAAAAAGGTCCGAATTCTCAAGCCTTCTTTTAAAACAATAAAAACCGTATTTCTATCAAATTTTTTGATGTGGGAATACTTACGCATATCTCTTTCAATTCTAGAGTGATCAGGCGATTCGTGGTTTTCTTCAAAATTTCGATTACTTGATGATGATGATTGGTTTTGAAACTCGACGTTGTTCATCGCGTTCTGAAATCCATTTCATGTTTTTATTCAAATTTTCGTTTGAGAAAATTACCTCAAACAACGTGTGAATTCCATCGGCATATGGCATTTGTATCGCAGTCGCTAGTTGGGGAAAATGCGCGGATATCGACCGCGTTCTTGGAGAACTTTCACGGCTGTCATCTATTGGCAGTTGCGGATCCATTACTACCTGAAACTGACATGAAAAGTGACGAGAAAACGGCGAGAAATGCGGAAAAAGGTCCGCATCCTGGCGAAACAAAAAAAAAAGAAAAGAAAAAGTGAAATTATATGCGTGTGCTGTGTGTATACGACGTTTCCATGCGTCTCGTTTCTCTGTCAACAGAGCGCGCTTGCACTTTTAAACACAATAAGTCGTCGGAAAGAGGCTAGCGGAGTGTAATGGAAAGAAGAAAAAGGCGAAACAGATGATATCTTGAGATCAGGTGGAACAAGCGAAAATAGAATGGAGAAATAAGGATAAATGAAGACTATTTTTTATCACGGCGGGCGGAAAGGATGAAAATTGGACGACTGACAGTTCGAAACACGTGAAATCCTAACTTTCCGTAATTGCAATTCACAATACACTTTATAAAATGTTACAAAACATACATTTAAGAACCTTTTCTTTGCAGGAATAGAGTGCCGAGTCGACTCGAAAATCGGAGATATTTTGTAAACTTTGAAATTTACACTATCGACATTTAACAATTCAACAAGGCTATTTGTCTATGAAAATCGAACTTTTCGTTGTCGATTTTTGTCGCTTTGAAAATCGACAAGAATCGACACGAATCGACTTTTGTCGATTTTGCGTCGACTTGAAATCGACAGAAAATCGACGAAAAATTGACAAAAATCGACAAAAGTCGACGAAAGTCGCCGAAAAATCGACCTTTTCGGGTTTCAATTGAACTCGTGGTGGCCTAGAAAACTCAACTTGCAAAAGTTAGGCCACCATGTCAAAATGGCCTAAAAACACAACAGGGTAATTTTGGTCATTTCTAGGTCAACTCGTGGTGGCTTAGAAAACGAAATTTGCAGAAGTTAGGCCACCACTTCAAAATGATTTAGAAAACACACCTGAGTCATGTTAGGACATTTATAGACCAGAAAAAGGTGGTGGCCTAGAAAACCCAACTTGCAAAAGTTTGGCCACCGTGTCAAAATGGCCTAGAAAACACAACAGATGATTATCAGGTTATTTCTGTTTCTAGGTCACCCGCCGTGAAATCTTCTTGGACATTAAATTCGGTTTTTGTCGATTTTTTGTCGAGTCTTGTCAATTTTGAGTCGATTCAAAATCGACAAAAATCGACTTTTGTCGATTTTCACTTTCATCGACTTTTGAAACGTCGGTTTTTGTTGATTTTTCGAATGTCGATTTTTGATAGAGTCGATGAAATCGACAGCGATTTTCGTCGATTTTCGTCGATTTTTGTCGATTGTCAACAAGCACACTATGCGGGAAAGGATTTATATAAAGCACATTCAAAACATGTTCGAGCAATATAACATGTAATGTTTCTGAAATACTTTGAATGCGGTAGCAAATAACATGCATTGAGAAAAATTCTAAAAGAAAAGCTTTCATTCCACGCTTTATGAAAATTACTGCAAAATCAAAAAAGCGAGAAGTGAGAACACAAAGAACACAGACTGGAAAGCAGCGCTACCTTTTGGACCATCTACGGCTGGATTGTATCCTGAAAATTAGTTTTAATTCAATTTTTCCAACGAAAAAGAATCCAGTCCTTACTAATGAACTCGCGAACATGTTGCTTGATGAATGCACGAGCAGCTGGAAGAGAAGCAGGTTCGCCATCATAGGATGCATACATGTCTCCACAGTGGGCTGTTCCATTGATGAGATAAGGGAGAAGATTTTGATTGTCATTAGTTTTGTAGGTACCTAATGCGTGCCACGGGTCTAAAGAACCGTTTGGAAGTACGACATTTGTAGCCTGAAAACGTCTATAGAAAATGCACCTGAGGAAATTAAAGGGGGACTCCGACCAAAAATTTTTTTTGCATTAAAATGTGTTAAAACTTATCTATTTTTGAAATATTATTGCGAAAAAATTCAAAGAAAATCCGAAATCCCCAAAAAACGCCGTGAAAAGGAAAAAAATTCAAAAAAGTGCCGCCGGGGGACGAGGATTTTCAGTGAGAAACC